AAAGGGGGGGGTAGCCCAGTGAAGCAAGGAAAGGCCGGACACTTGGGTTGCCAATTTTCCAGTGATCCCCCAAAGATTGGGGATTCCATCTCCAAATAGGGAGATTCGGCCAGAGGGGTCTCACTGTCCCTCTAAAAAGGCAGTGACGATTTCGTGAGTGGTGGCAACGAACTTAAGGAGTGAGACATTCCCTCATGGGGAACCATTGTTACCAATCTCCAGGTGGGGGCTGGAGATCACTCAGAATTAAAACTGCTCTCCAGGAGAGAGGGGGGAGGAGATGGAAAGCTGAAATCAGAGGGGCAGATAATGGCAGGTTGATGCTTGGCTGGGAAGGAGATAGAGTTGCCAACTCCAGGTTGGGAAATTCATGAAGATTTGAGGGGTGGAGCCTAGAGAGGGTGAGGTTTGAGGAGGGGTGGGACCTCAGACAGGTACAATGCCATAGACTTCACCCTCCAAACCAGCCATTTCCTCCTGGGTAACAATTGTTGCCAATCTCCAGGTGAGGGCTGGAGATCACTCAAAATTACAACTGCTCTTCAGGTAGCAGAGATCAGTTCCTCTGGAGAAAATGGTGGACTCTGTGTCATTATACCCTGCTGAGGTCACCACAGCAAATTGACGCTGAGTGCCCAAGGCCTTGGCACTCTCCCAGAACCACTTTCTAGAGCTCGTTGTATTTATTTCCACAATGAGCCTTATTCCTAGTCTACCAGGAAAAGCCCAAACTGGACAGTCCTTTTTCAAGTATGGAAATGAGTATTTAAAAAGTGCACACATTCCCAATCACAACTACATCTCATCTTTATCCTTTGTAGAAGCAAAAAGTTATTATTGCTGTGAAGGTCTGGTGGCATGATAGAGATGGATCCTAAAGGGCACAGTGTTTGCTTGATGCTAGGGCTGGGGAAATTGAGGCAGGGTATCCTTGGAGAACACGTTATGCAGCATCCTTGCTGAAACTCAGAAGGTCAGGGTATGGTTAGTGCCTGGATGAAGATCTCCTGTGGGCTACTGTGGATACTGCCTTGAGTTCTGTGGTAGAAGAAAGGCCAGATGTAAAAGAAAACAATCCATCAAGGGCTGATAATATCTCAAGAAGAGTTTCCACTTATTGCTGTTGGGGTCAGAAACTGATGCCCAGGCTTATGCAACTAGAGTGGTCGTACATAAGTTTTAAGCTAAATGTGTGTTTTAGGACATAGGAGGTGACACAACCGAATGGATTTGTACCAGTCTGGTATAGTTTCTGACCTTCAAACACTAAGGATTGCTGTACTTTATTTATTCTTTCCCCAGTCTTGAAAGTCAGGCTGCCCAAAAGATTCCTTTGGCATACATCTTACAGATCTGACAATTGCAATGCTTAACTCTATGTTGTTTGTTTCAAGAATGCCCTATTGAAAGTTAAAGTGGCTTATTCAGTCAGTACTAGTGTTTTTCAACAGAAACTTTCTTATATTCATTAAAACATGACAGGAAATAAAAACTTAAGAAACCCATAGAATTGTGCATTTCCCATCATCTTTGTTTTGTTTGCACGTTTCTCTGGGTTTCTTCAGTTTTTATTTCTTGTGACTGAGCTTAATGAAAAAGTTATCAAATGAACGTGTCGTTATTGGTGTCATTGTGTTAATGTGTACATAATCACAATAGCAGTGCCCCAAAAAATGGTAACTAAATCTCTCTATCTTTAAAGATAAAAGCCGTGCTCTGTGCACTTTAATTTCTTTCCCCTCTTTAAGTCAACTTTCTGTATAGATAGAATATTTCCCTCTGTAATATTGTGCTTATTAAGCTGGCTTTTGAACACAATGGCCTTTTGGAAACTGTTTTCTTACATAAAGCTGCAGAACCAGTCCTCATTTCAACCTGTAACCGGCCTTCCTCGTTTTAATGCAAATTGCTGTAATGAAAAGAAAATAAGATCTATTTGTACAGTGATACAAAAGTATTGTTAACAATGCTGTTTACTAACACTCCCCATGTTCGAGTGTGCAGATTACCTGTATTCTATTGTTGTGTGATAGTGTTTACTTACATAAGGGACTTGATATTCAGCATTTCTATTTGAGATCCAGTCACTCATCTATTCACATACGGAATATCTCTTTAATCATCAGTATGCCCCCGGGAGTTGTTAACTTTATTCTTCCCATCATTGTTCTTTAAGTTAGTCCATTGCATTGGAATATCTTTTGTAAATAGCCATTTGCTGCTGGAGCACTAGAGACTGGTTACTTTAGACAGGGTGGTATGCTTTGCACAATGAAAATAGCTCTAATGAGCTACTGTTGTTTATTTTTCTCTGATCTAATTGCTTATGTTCAGTAAATAATGTTGCATCTGTTGTGAAGCAATGGGAAATGTCAAAACAAAAAGATAGACAGCAGGTGCTTGAGGAGAGAAAATAGAAAGACATAATAAAAATACACCTATTTTCAAAAGGCGTGCATTGAATAGATAAAGGATTAAAAGGAGTAACATAAATTAAAGTGTATTTGTGTGTTGCCTTGAATTTCAAAATCCATTTCTAATAATTTATGATAAAATTGTCTCATAAGCAGGATTATCTGTCAGGAACGAACACACTGAACAACCTTGTATTTTGGCTCTTATACTCTTCTAAGAATTTTCGTTTTATGTGTATTAGGCACTCTCCTGTTGCTTGTTGCCATAATCCAGAGAACAGTATGACTTGTCCCTTATACCTGTAAGGATTTTTGAAATCTGGAGTGAAGGAAGAATATGGCATGTTGCTTTTTTAAACTTGGGAAGGGAGGGGCACCTACTTGGAGATAAAAGTTCATCATTTTGGTACATGGGTACTGTGCATGTGCAGGCCTATTGCACTGAGGTTTTTGAAGCTCAAAAACCATGCCTGAGGGTACTCCATCTCGTTTCTCCACACTGTTTCCCACCTTTTGCAGAGTGATGTAGAGGGAGTGAAGCACCCTTCCTTCAATCCTGTCTCTTCTGCCACTAAGAGTAGTTAGTCAGTAGAATCACTGTCTCTTTTTCAATCAGCACAAAACTGCCAACAATTCCTACCTCATTCTACTGCCTCCTTAAAGTGAAGTGTCTGGGAAATGGCACAAAAAACATTCTTTAAAAGATTCAGGTCCTGTGGGCCAAAAATTCCATACACAGATGATCATTA